TTTTCTGACTCGGAGTCGGGTCGAGTCAGCAAATCGAAAACGCTATTAGCTGCTGTACCAGCTTTTTACCATGAGAGATGGATTACCGACTGCAACTTTAGTTCACTGAACGGCACGAGAGGGCAGCTGTTTAGATCTCAGGGCTGTTGCAGGCAAGTTGAAAACTTGTTCCACTCACAGACATCACGCGGAGAAAAATAATTTGCTAACACATTATATCTTATGTAAACTTAAGTAAATTTTGTCTGTTATTTTATAATAAAGTTATTTTCTCTTTTCTGGTCAACTCTGTGTTAAGAACACTAATTTTATTGAAAAATAATTGTGCGAAATATTTAGCTAAAGAAATAAAAGAATTTCTGTTCAGTCAAACGTTCTGCTGTAATGGTGAATAATTTTAATAATGTATAATAAAGAAATTTTCGTATCGCCATCACATTAAATTCTTATCAAATATATATGCAGTATTCAAGTAGCAGCAACAATTTCGCTGCAACAGCAAAATTATTTTTTTCCGTGCGTATCATAGAAAGTATATAATTATAAAATAATGTGTGGTGTTAAAATAGTAAACAAAAAGTAAACATAAAAATAAAGAATGTTTTCTTACACGGAAAAGAAAGATTAGCTACCATATACTAACAGCTAACATTTTTGCAGCGAGAGCTGTTACTTTTGTAATAGTAGTAAAACCTTTTGCCACTATTATAAAAGTAATAGCTCTCGCTGCAAAAATGTTAACTGTTAGTATATATGGTAGCTAATCTTTTTTTTCCGTGTAAGAAAACATTCTTTATTTTTATGTTTACTTTTTGTTTATTATTTTAACACCACACATTATTTTATACTTTCTATGATACGCACAGAAAAAAATAATTTTGCTGTTGCAGCGAAATTGTTGCTGCTACTTGAATACTGCATATATATTTGATAAGAATGTGATGGCGATACGAAAATTTCTTTATTATACATTATTAAAATTATTCATCATTACAGCAGAACGTTTGACTGAACAGAAATTCTTTTATTTCTTTAGCTAAATATTTCGCACAATTATTTTTCAATAAAATTAGTGTTCTTAACACAGAGTTGACCATAAAAGAGAAAATAACTTTATTATAAAATAACAGACAAAATTTACTTAAGTTTACATAAGATATAATGTGTTAGCAAATTATTTTTCTCCGCGTGATGTCTGTGAGTGGAACAAGTTTTCAACTTGCGTGCAACAGCCCTGATCTCCGATTAATCGAAAAACATCGCCCATCCGTAAGAAGAAGAAGCAGATCGACGCTCTAGTCTGCCCGATTCTTTCGTTTCGTTTCTTTGGAGAAACGCGTGTATCCATAAGTAACAGGTGTGTAAGTAAAATTAGGCTCGAACGAGCCTAATTTCGTCGATTCCGGCGGCCGCTGAACTACCGGACCGTCTACATTGGAAGTAAGCAATAAGAATTCAGAAAACCATTACCTTTACTTTACCATAACCTTACTCAGTGTAAAAGCTAAGGTACAGGCATAATTTTTTAAACTATTTATAGCACTGGTCCAACTGCGCTCTAATTCGCCGAGAGTAACCGTCGGAGCTGAAGTAGAAGTAAGAAATGAGAATGATTCGTTTCTTTACTCCTACTCTTACTTCTTACGCCAGGCTTACTTCATTTATCGTAGACGATCCTTTAATGAAGTTACTTTTTGCTAGTCCGCCGGCGAGATAAAAACATAAAATTACTTTGGTTAAGAAATTATTCGACGTAATTGGCAAAAATGTTTCTTTATTAAAAAGGCAACGTTACGACCGTAAATTCCGGCCCTTCTCAAGTGTAGGGTGATCGCATAACGATACTAAATTCGAACATTGTGCCGGCAATAGAGATCTGATTGATTCGGCCGAAGAATTGGATTTTCAGCTTCATTTGTTATAAAATTACTTTGTTCTTTCACTTTTTGACACCCTTTATTACATATTATTAATATACTTCGTTCAGGAAGGTCCAGGTACCTTTTAGATATTTCACTCTTTTCTGTAACTTCAATAGTTGTAAGGATATGAAATTGCTAATCTATCTAGTTCATGATAGTCTATCTTTAACTTCGTTGTGCGTCTAATTGTAAGTATTGAGGCAGGTTGTTGCATTGTAAACAGTATTCTTAGTACATGTGCACGCACGTGCCAACTGTGTGCGAAATTTTATAGATTTTTGTACGAAAATAACGGTTGAAAAGCAACTGGACGTGACTGGAAGGTGAAATTTATGTTTTAGTAATTACACACTTTGACAATTTTAATACCAGGCAATATATTGTAAATATATTGTAGTATATATTATAAGATTTATTAGATAATTAAATATTCTGTTCGCTGTGCGTAAAATATTTAATAAGAGGCATGTGATTCTTTTGTTGTTTCCAGGATATATTTGTTAACAATGGGAGATATTAACGACGTTGCTGGAAACCTGCTCTCGACACCAGGAAACGAAGAGCCACCGGAACTGAAGAGACAGCAAGTACCATACGAGGACTTGTCCAGCGATTTCGATGATAAATCGATTGACTTTTCTAAGCAATTTTGTAGCATATACGCAGCGAGACTGGCGGAGTTGAGGGATACGTTGATATCGAGAGTTGCTGCAAAATGGGGTGAGCTTTGTACAGTGCTATTTTAAACAAGACTTTTACTTTACTGTAAAAATTAAGATTCTGTACGCATAGTATGTAGAGGAAAGTCCTCTATTATGAGATAGAATTCTAATATGAGCTAGTAGGTTTTCAACGTCCAAATTCAATCGCAAATCTTTTGTCCCGAGATTGCACGATCTGACATTCAAATTTTTCCGCCAAACAGATTTCACTCCGAGAGCAATAAATTCACGATGGAACCAACAGATGATGGCTATCTCATAATTGAGGACTTTCCTCTATATTTCACGATTACTGTAGAATTAAGTTAAAATTTTGTCTCTTTCAGGACAAGTTCAAGTATTGAAGTTAGCGGAACTGGAAGATTTCGAGGGGCAAGAATGCGTGATAATTGGTACAATCTATAAACACCAGAAATGGAAACCATCTATACTACACGAATTAAGCGAGGATCATCAGCTTACGTTGTCCGAACCGAGGTCGGATTACTGCTCAGAAAGTGATCAGTTGTTCTTGGAAGACGAGATGCTGCGCATCAAATTGGTAGTTGAGGATGCGTCTTTAAAGAACTGTGTTACTGGTGTTGTGTGTGCCGCTTTAGGCTGCAAAGACAAGAATGGCAGTTTTGAGGTATATAAATGTGCATTAAAATTAAAATATACGTACAGATAAAATACAATTGGTATCTTGCTCAGATCAAGAAATTGTGTTTCCCTGGTTGCGTGCCTCGACATTCAGCGCGGCCAAAGTCCGACGGGAAGGTGGTGTTCCTGTCTGGACTCGACTTGGCGAATACCTCAAATACCTTGGCGTTAAACCTTTTAACCGAATGGATATGCGGGATGGCGGGAGATGTGACAACGCAGGAAGAAGCCACCAGCATTGTTCGAGTTATTATTGCTGGTATATTCCATTTTCAATACCTCTGGTCGCATATGATTGTAACACGATCCATTTTCAAGCTCGGGTATTGCGTTTCACGTAGGTAACTCTGTTAAAACTGTTACTAAGACAAATACTCAAATCGGACACGCCGAAGGGAAGGCGCAGGACGCCGCAATAACGAAGGAAGTCGCCGACGCAACGACACTCCTGGACGCATTTCTCTCCGAAATAGCAGAATGTTGTTGCATCACTTTAATGCCGGGTGAACACGATCCCACCAATGCAATGTTGCCCCAGAAACCGCTGCATCCGTGCATACTATCGCTAACGTCTAGGTATTGTACAAATATGCATACCGATTACAGTAGATATACGATCTGACTTTCCAAGGAACGAGATAAGATTACAGTTCTTTACAGATACCTACATTTTTCCCCTGCCGTTGTATAGCAAAGGAATACAATTGTAAAAGTTATAATATTTTTTCCACCTTATATTTACACGATACTGCAGTAATAGAGCAATTTAGAATTGACATATATAATCTAATTGTTTACAGATTTATAAGATCTTTTAATCCACGTGCGAATCGATAGAAATAATGTGACCTTTCTTTTAGATTTCAAAGTTTTAAGGGTGCGACTAATCCGTGGGTCGGCAAAGTTTCCAAACGTATAATAATGGGCAGCAGCGGACAGCCTATTGAAGATATTATAAAGGCAACCGGTGAGACGGACATCTCACCTTTAGACTGGCTGGAGAGAACGCTGCTTTGGAAGCACATGTGCCCGACTGCTCCAGATACATTACCGGTACACCCTTACGCTGTAAAAGATCCCTTTGTCATAAAGCACTGTCCGGATATATATTTTGTGGGTAACACGGATGAAGCCGATACGAAGATATGGGAAGGTAAATATTACATTGGAGAAAAAATAAATTAAGCAAATTCATAAATTACTTGTGTTTTAGTTACGTTAAAAATACTGCTAAACCTGAAATGTTATTATTTTGCTAAGTTTGACGTTGCTCGATGATTATTCGTACATATTTTCATGATACTCGATGTCTCCTCACATTTGCGAATATTAATCAAAGTGCATTTAACACTTGCAGGTGAAGAAAATCAGGTGGTCAGGCTAATTTGTATTCCGAAGTTTTCCTCTGCGTATACTGCAGTTTTGGTGGATCTAGAAACCTTAGATACCGAATTTATTTGTTTTGGAACTGGATAAGGGACGACTGAACAACTTCGATTTATCTAGAATTCTAGATACAATTAAATATAACTAGCGAATCTAACAATACGCGATATTCTTTGTTAGATTGCACTGCTGCAGTTTCTCTACTTTTATACTTTAATATTGTATTACTTTTGAAATATATGAAAAATTTGTAAAAATAAAAATAAAATGTAATATTTCGATAATAAGTATACATCAGTTACGTTAAAATATATATTAGCTATAATTTTTTATCGGTTATTACACAAAAAAAATGTTCATTACATCAGAACTTGAATAACCCCAGGACACTTGAACTAAAACCTGAAAAAAAGCAGAATTATCGTAGGAAAATGTCAAACTGTTACGTGAGGTTAAACGTATTGTAATAAAAAAAAAAACCGGAGAGACGCACGAGAATTTGCATATTGTAAAAGAAAAAACAATTTCTGTTGTCACCTATTTTTATTTGCATCTCGTAAAAGTGATGTACAAAATTGAAACGCATGCGACTTTGAAGAATTCGTAGACACTTTGCCTGGTTATAAAACTTTTAATACGAAAGAAAATACATGTAGTATCACAGACTATTAGAAAATTGCGAAATCACAGTGACACAAGACTTTATTTATATGAACGCTTAAATTAACAAGTGAATATATACTTCACAAATTATACCAATGATAAGAACATAACAGTCAAAATACAGAGCATCAGAATATTTAACTAATAACACATTTTTAATATTAGTAGTTTCTGTTCTACATGAAATTTTCCACACGCTATGTCAAGAATATCTCCTATAATACATAAATTTACAATTCCCCTTTTATAATTTTAATCTTTTTATAACGTTATCCTTACCTGTATAATGTAATAGTAATATCTTAAGACACAACTCGGTCATATACGAAAATTAAAATGAGATTATCTTACGTCTAAAAAAAATCCATGCTTAAAGAAACTGATTTTGACTGTTACATAAATTACGTTTGCGAAATTAAGTGCAAGAATTATGTAACGGACAATGTACAGGGATTTAAATACAAGTTTTGACATAATGGATAAAATTGTAACGTACATTTAAGCATTTGTAGTTATTAACATTTCTTGTAGAGTATGTCACGCAGGCTGCGGTGTGTATTCTCTCTCTCACAAAAAGGAGAAAAAGCACGTTTGTATTGGAAGGTACACAGTGCTACAGAACATTTCCATTGGCACTTTTATTTAAAGTGAAGAGCTCTGATCGCAACATAAATACAGTTTTGTACAAAACCGCTCAAATTGTCATGAGATTCCACTTCTTTCGGTGAATTAATACTATTTATTAGTTGTGTAAACGGAGCAGGAAAATCAATAATGTGTATCCTAAACGTAATATGACGCTAGAATTCTAGTGCTTTGGCCAAAATAGCAATACTTAAAAAAAAGCAATAATAATTAAGGTTTTTCCATTAATTTAAGCAGAGAGAATGAAGTTATAAAATTTATATTTATAATACACTTTACAGGTTCGTAATTAACTTAAGGTGCAATGTTACATGACCGACAGGTATATATAACAATTGACAGGTAGCTTCTGTATATAGTAACGACGTAGACGTACTGTACTTATTAAGAGTTTTATATCCTATCTTTTAGCCGTCGGACGTATTCTCTCCTTTTCAGTGTCTCTATCGTCAGCTACTGTCCACTCGGGATCATTGGGATCCTCGCCGTCTATATCGCAACAAGCCGATTCGGTCGAATCCGATTCGGGGGAGTCCATTTCCACCTCCTAGAAATGTAGAAACACGAATGATTAGACACGACCGTTGTTGGCGGCGATCACCTTACGCCCGGTTGGTCGCTTGGCGGAAAAAATTCTATTCAAAGATTGCAAGCTCTCATACGGCAGCTGCGTGAAACCAAAGGAGCAAAACTAGAGTCGTGTAAAAGATTCTATATAACGCATGGAAAATACTGTAATGCACTTAACGTAACGCGATACTTCTCTCGTCAATCAACATCTGCTAATTGCGTGTGTCTATGTGTATGTGAGATGGAAAATAAAATGAATTACGTTACAGAAGCGTCAAGTGGTACTGCTTACCGGAAATAGCCTCGAGAGGAGCCATGAAAGTTGGCTCAAAGTGTATATTAATAAGTCAGTACTAGCACCCACATACATTTTATATTAATTAAAACTTTTCTCACTTAGATATTCGATGCATAGGGGTATCAGTGCAAGTAAAATGTACGTACATCATCGCCCTTGTCCTCGCCGCGGGAGCATATGGGCGTCGACGAGGCTTGCCAGTTTCCACCCGGCATCTCCTTCAACATATTGTTGTAAACTTCTTCGGATAATGGGAATTCTCGTGGCTCGTACGGCTAAAAAATTTCGGACCGTTGTGACATCGCGTAATACAATTTATACTCAAACGGACACGAGATATCGTTGCCGCGAGTACTCACCTCCTTATCAACTATAGTCGTGGTGGCCGTGGTAGCGTCGTCTTTCCCGAGTCTCAAAGTGGGCAAAGTGGGCAAAGTGGTGCGACGTCGCAGCGAGTTTTGTAAAGCAGACTGCCGGTGCGAATCTAAACCCAACGATTCTGTGTCCTGCACCTGAGACGGAGTGGCGGGTGGAGACGTGATTGGGGACGTCACGTCTCCGCCGAAGTCACTACTCGCGTGCGGCGACATAGGATCTAAAAGAGAATTTTGTTCTTTTTTTATTTGAAAAGTATACTTTATTCAACTATTTGCTGGACAGTTATGCCCGATATGTAGAGATACCTAAAAGATATCTCGATAGGGAAATGAAGCAATAGAACCCATTTCTACTAGAGACGTGATAAAAATTCACGATTAAGCGCAGGGCAACGTACCAGGCGTGTTCGCACCGCTGTCTGCTCTGCTGTCAATTCGACGGTTGTGACGAATACGCGGTTGGTTTGGCGTGTTGAGGTACGTCATGAAACGTTTGTATTCCTCGCGTTCGCTACGCTCGTGCCTCAGGGCGATCGTCTCATCCGATACATCTTCAAACTGATAGAGTCATACGATCATTGGATTAACATTGGTTGCGAAAGAGAAAATAACAGGTTACCTCATTTTACCGTACTGCTTTTTACCGCAGGCGATTATCTCGTGTTATTTACTTACGTCACTGTCCGGATCAGACATGTGCATCACACCGTTCTTTACGTCCATTTTCGAGGGTTCCTCGCACAATCTCCATCTTTAATAGTAACAAGAACATAGAGAAATAAAATTAGTACAGTAATGCAATAAAGCAACAGTTGATTTAATCAGTAAATTGGCTTTCTTTGGAAATTGGAGCAACCGCAAATTATGTAATATCTTACTTTGGTGTTAATATCTCCTTATATTGTAACTTTTCAGGTCTAGTTGAAGCAGCGACGCTGTAAGGGATGACTATATTGTCGATGTCGTACGAATTTTGTCGCAAACGCCTGAAAACAGTATCACAAATTAGTTGATTTGTCAACGATACGCGCATCTTTTTCTAAACTGACGCGGACGGTCAGCGGCGGCTGACGAATTCGTCGAGTAGAAAACATAATCGCCCGCCCGAGTACCTTGCACTCTGTATTAGGAGACACTTAGTACGCGCGGGTGATCGATATAGTGATCTCGTTAATGGAAAAGCAGCCGATACGCGAACGCTGCGTCGCTTACCCATGTGAATTGGAACTTTTCTCTTTAACAACGTTTTTCTCCGTCGAGGCAGTAACGTGTTGCAATGGAGAAGGCACTGGGGACGAGTGTTTGCTGGAACTCGAAAGCGCGCTAACGTCATCGTCATCCTCAGTCGGCAACTTGGATACTTTCTTCTTGCTTAATCCAGGCACGCTTCTCTCGTGACTGAGTCTGTTTCTTTTGCCATTTTTCAACATCTTCCTCTTGATCCCTGTTACAACAAGGTGTACGTTATTTCGCGCCGCTGGTGAACAAAAAAAAAGCAAACAATGAGAGTGACTCATTCCTTCAACGGGCAAGAACGATAGATTGCAAAATACAATGTCCCCGTGATACGTACTCGCAGTAAGGATGGTCGAGGATGATTTCTTTAATCGCGCGGTGTACTTGGTTCTATTAGGAAGCTTCTTGTTTCTTCTCTCGTTGCTGTCTTTATCTTTCACTCGGGTAACTCGTAAATTGCCTCTCAACATTTTCTGCTGCCACTCGACCGATTTCATAATAGCTTCTAAATGTGTTCCGTGTACAATTTCTACAATGAACAAAACCACAATGAGAGATAAAGCAGCAAGGTTTTTCCCGTCGTTTGTACTCAACGGTTTTCAGAGCTTTCATTCGGATATTTACAGATTTCAAACACTGCAAGGAAAACTAATCTACAAATGTGCACGAGGTGTAAACTTTCCTAGATTATACATGTTATGCGTCGTCCACAGTGAGATCTTTAAGACGTAAGGTTTAAGAAAGTGACCTATCATAATCGACTGCGAGTGGTCATTTTCTTGAATCTCACGTCTTAATGGTCTCATTGTAGACACGTGTCGAGTCCTATCGACACACATCGGTATTGAATAAAGTTCCAATTTAAAGTGGAATTCATTTTTTTTCTTACGAGTAAACATACCATCGGAGAACGACAACACCGGATGAAAACTGGGATCAACAAGTGCTACACGTTCCTGTACGGAGAACTGTTCGATTGGTTCTTGCGGTTGCATTGGATCTAGTCTTCCCGTACATAAAGCACACGCAGGCAACACATGATCACAATTGCATCTCACTGTCGACGCTTTAGCCGCACGCTTCGAAACTTCGTGTAGCCTGTCCACTTGCAAAAGCTTTCGCTTTCTGTAAAAACTCCATACAAATGGACGTGTCCTACTAGCCGGTAATTCGCCCTCGGGCGAATTGTATCGTCCAGTGGACCCTGGTAGAGCTCCACTGTATCCGTTAACGGTTTCCGCATTTTCGAGGACGACGAGACCCTTCCCGGCCCTGGTCTGCCGCTGCAGTTCATTATGCTGCCTAATTCTGTATTCTAAATCTGATATCTGCGCCTGCAGCCAGGTCCACCGTGATGCTACCCCCGCGCGATCCTGCGTATATCTCCATGCCGCTCTTTTGGATCTGTGCAAAATAATGTAACGATACGATTGGCCTGCCGATTCGCAAGACTATAAAACGTTAAATCGTACACGTTGTGTAACGAGCCAGCGTGGCCTGTTATCTCGCGGAGACTACACGGAATGCCGAGAGACCTTAAGATGCACGGACTCGGCGAGTGAAACAACAAATTACTTTCAATCTTATACCGGCCTCATTTTACAGAATCACTTGACTCAAATTTAATATGCACGATACCGCTGCAACCGCGCGCAAACCAAATACGCCGTTAAAATCCGAATGGCAATCGATTGCGGGCGTGTTCTCGAGAGCAAATGTTTTCGGAAATAAAGAATCCAGAGCCGAGCCAGAAAACACATTTCGGTCCGTTTTCTTCAATTGCAAATGATACTTGTCGGTTATTATGTAAACTAAAAAGATTCGAAATTTTGTGTCATCGAGTTAAAAAGATTGCCGTTTCTTAAATGTCGAGGCATAATTCTCGAATTGTAATAAAAAATTACAGTTTTAGGAAGCCTATTGAAAAATATATCCAGAACATTTATAAATAAAAACATAGACTTTCCAACATTATATTCAATAACGAAGATTGAATAAAACGATAATATCAGATCAAATTTCTATGAAAGAAATACGGTAAGCAAATGCCGTGATTTGAAAAGAAGCCATCAATAAACTCAAAATTGTAAATAAATTAATATTGCGAATTAAATCTATTACGAAATCCTTAGTCAATTATTTATAACAATTCATTATAATTGCTCGTCGCACTTGAATACAAGTGAAAAAATGCAAGCAATGCACATAATTGTTTTAAAATAATTGAGAAATATTTCAAATATTTTTTATCACAAGTCGAATAAACAGCCTGTTCTTTATACATTCCTTTCCCTCCTAAAGCGTCACATTACTTTTAAATAAGCACAAAGAATACAAACCAATAAATGGCACGAAAGTAACAAAGGCGAAACGTGTGAGCGCATCGGTGCTTAATGCTAATAAATTAATACTAAGGTACCAATGCATAAATCTCTCGTTAAACGTGAACTCACATGGACAGACGCTGTTGCTGCGTATTGTTAAATGTCTGCATTTCGTCGCAGCTTTCGCCACCACTGCTGGACGCAGTACAGTCAGAGTCCAAGTTAGATTCCACAAAGTGCAACTGCGTGGACAAAGACCCGGCGACATTTTCCACTTCCTCACCGTTCAGTTTAACCTGCGGGGTACCGAACACCGGCTGACGATTACCGTTATTGCCGGACGTCCCGACACCCACGCTATCCCGCGAGCCTCCGCCGAAGTATCGGCACACTTTCTGACGATTGACACTGTTACTCTGGGCGACGCACATCTTCTCGATTTTCTGCAGAAAGGAATGCAAGCTGCTACCGATCTCGGGAAAGTTCCTCACATTGGACTTGGAGCCGATATTAACCAATTCCTGAAGAAGGTACTTCTTCACGCCGTGATGGGCCAACTCGAGAACGCCGGTGTTCTCCTCCGCCACGTGTCGGCCCACTATTCTCGCCTGAAGCTTCCTCAGTCTTCTCAGTAGAAACGCGCATCTCCTCTCGTTCTCAAACTGCTTCTGCGCCACAATGTCCTGCTGCAATTTCAGACTGTTGGACTTTTGCTGGTCCACCGTGTCCACCGGAATATTCATGTTCTCGTTGCAGAGACTCATCACGTCCACGTCGTTAAGCAGGTCCCGCTCAAACGACGCGAATCCCTCCTCGGGCATGGCAAACATCTCCACGCTGTCGACGGCGCCCTGCACCGGCTCGCCGACGCCCGCGGAAATGTTCCCGGTGCTCTCGGCGCCCTCTATCGAATTGATAACCTGCAGAATCTCCTCGACGTTGTGACCGATATCGGCGACATTCGCGATGTTGCACTGCTCGGCCGTGATATCGGTGCTGAAGGCCATGATCTGATCGACGTCCAGATTCTTATTGTCTTCCGTTTCGGTCTCAGCAGCCACCGAGGGCAAGTCCAAGCTCGATTTCAAGAAACCCATGTTGTTCGTCTCATCACCCATAGATGGGTCGTTCATTATAATGTCGATCACCTTCCTGTCGGCGTGACCGGCGTCCGGCAGCGTGACCGGCCACTCAAAGCCCTCCTCCTCCTCCTCGTCTTCGTCCTCTTCTTCCTCCTCCTCCACCGCCGCCGCCACCGCCGCCGCCGGCGCCGCCGCCTGCTGTTGCAAACACGCCGCACTGTTCCTCGATCCGATCAGGTCGGGCGCGTTCGTGAACGCGGATAGTGAGTCGAGGTCATTTGCATACTTGGAGTTAATGACATCGCGTATGAGGTCCTTTGAGATACCGCGCAAGCACTGCTCGTCGATCTTCGACGGTTGCACGTTCGCCGGCACCACGAATTTCGTGAGGATCTCACGGTTCTGGCACACCTGCGTCGCCTGCTCGGCGGACAGAAAGCCGCTGGCGGCTGGTAGGGTAGGGAGCAAGTTTTCAGGCTTTTGAGGACCGCCTTCCGTCAGAGCAGGGGCCATCACTGCCACTGACGCTGCCAGTGCCGCGGCCTCCACATCCAGAGGCTCCCACGACGTGCCGCCAAGTGCGCGTCCGCCGCTCCTGCGCTCCCCGTGCGCCGCGCTCACTCCCATTCATCCATTACACAGGCCTCTGTCCTGCCTCCCTTGCCGCCCTCTCTTCTTCCGTTGCTTCCTACTACTTGGCACCGCGTTTCCACTAACTGTTTCCGCTTCGCTCCAGTAAACAGTTTATCACTGGCTTGCCATCATCCGCGGCAACCCAGGTAATTACGTCGTCTCCACGGTATCTCCCATGTTATCGATCATGGATTTCCATTGTCGCAAGGCGATACCAGTTCCCTGCAAAAAGGCCGAGATGTTACATCATGCGTTTTACCCACAGATATCTATACTATAACTAGATCGCTAACTCCTACTGATTTTGTGCATAAAATGTGTTCCCGAAAACTATGTAATATGGCAGTCGCACATGCGTAACGTTGATGTAGAAAGTGCCAGCACAATATGACAGATAACCTCGTGGGCTGGATCGAGATTTAAGTATTATTGGAAATTCTTATAATGTATTCCGTTCGGGAGTTCGATTCTTGAATCGTTCTCATGGAACACGTACGTGAGAACTCTACTCTTATAGCGTTTTCGA